GGTGGGAGAATTTTCAATGTTAATGGAAAAACTGTGGGATTTGATTAAGATAGAGGCTGTAGCAACGAGTAAAGCTTCTGTTTTATTACTGTTTGGTTTAAGAAAATTGGAGGAGAACCAGGATCTAATCTCGATAAGACAGTTTGAGAGGGAGGCAGGTGGGAGGGATGAATTGGGTTTAGAAGAGATGTAGAGCTGGGTGTCATCGGCATAACAGTGAAGATTTATATTATATTTTCAAAATATATGACCAAGAGGGAGCATGTAAATAATGAATAAAAGAGGCCCTAATACTGAACCCTGGGGCACACCAGCAGAAACAGGGTAGAGACTTGAAGAGTGTGATTTAATGCAGCTTAACTTTCTTTTGGTCATCTTACTCACCAGCTTGTTTGTGTGCTGTACATTTTATACATATCGCCGTACAATTTTTCAATACATATTCTGTACATTGTTACCTGTATATACGAACTTCGGTTGTTTATGTTTATAGGACCACCATGTGTCTTCCTTTTATATTTTATTTTCCCTTGCCGTAAGAGCTCTGTAACACCGAAATTTCTAATCCGTGGGATAATAAATATTCTATTCTATTCTTAAATTGGATAAACTGAGTGCGGTCTGAAAGATATGAGGCAAAGCAAGCAAGGGGGGTATGTGTAATGCAAATGGATGCTAACCGGTTCAGGAGGATATTGTGAGAAATGGTATCAAACGCCGCACTAAGATCAAGAAGGATGAGGATGGATAGGAGACCAGAATCAGCTGCCATCAGAAGGTCATCGCCAAAGTGCTTGCTCATAGGGGGTCATATGATTGTTGGGTTTTTCTCTGTATCTATGAAGTGCCTTGAGGCGACTTTTGTTGTGATTTGGCGGTATATAAATAAAATTGAATTGAATTAAATTGAATTAATCCCTAACAAAGCAGTTTCTGTGCTATGATTGGGGCAGAAACCAGATTGAAATTGTTCATAAAGATTATGGTCATTGAGGTATAGGTGAAGCTGGGAGGCGACAACTTTTTTAAAGAATTTTTTAAATAAAGGGGAGATCTGATATAGGGCGAAGATTATCAGAGTTATTGGGGTCTGCACCAGGCTTGTTGAGAGTTGGAATAACAGAAGCCTTTTTCAGAGATGAAGGAACGATTCCAGTATTCAGGGAGAAATGGATAATACTGGTTATGAGAGGAGCTAACGAGGGAAGACAGGCTTTAACTAACACAGTGGGAAGAGGGTCAAGTTGACAGGTGGATGATTTAGATTTTTTAATAAGATTAGATGCATCAGTTATGGAGTAAAGCTTGAAAATAACTGACAGGAAGACAGCGGGGGAAACAGCAAGTCCACTTCAGAGTCGTAAGCTCCTACAGAGTTAAGTTGACGGTGAATATCTGAGTGAAAAAAGAGATAAGAGAATTACAAAAGTCAGCAGAATACATGTGGGAGGGAAATGTGTCTGGAGGTTTTGTAATTTTACTGAACAATGAAAAGAGAGACCTGGAGTTATGTCTGTGAAGGTTCTCAGTCATCCAGGTCAT